GTTTATTAATAAGAGCGTAAATAACAATACAGCAAGAAAACTTTATTTTGATAAATTATAAGTATACCTATATATTTTGTGTATTTTTGTTTTTTGAAACCTAGAGATCTCCTTAGCAGTTTTTAAAATATCAATTTTTTGAACTATTTCAATATTTTCTACATTTCTATATTTTTAAAACACACAGTTGGCATCAACAGAGAATAAGCGAATTTAGTGGAGAAATTATTATTGTTTAGAAAACTCAACAGATTGATTAATTCAGTTAGCAAAGACAGTCTTCGGAAATAATCGTTTTTTACCATATTCTAGTAATATCGTTTGATATCTATTGTATCGTACCTATATGTAGTATATTCAGTGGATTAACGCGGTTATCAGAATAAATTAATTAGCGACGATTCAACTGTCAAACATATCATCTGACAAACTATTGTATATAGCAATATAAGGTTGAATGTTCGAATAATTAAACTTTGACGGTATACAAGGCAACTACGAACACGGTGATTAATTTAATCTTGCCCAAGTACTTTCGATCAATAGATCATCTTCAGGGGCATTTCGTCAGTTGTGGCCTATCCGACATAGTAGAATGTCATAAATGTAAAATTTGGACATAACAATACAAAATACAATACACTAAGACAAACAAACACTTTAAAATTTTTAAGGAGAAGCTACATGTTGTATAGAAGCCGGAGACAGCTGTCTGCAGATGTTTATACCGTCTATACCTGGTGATTTACCGTTGCGACTACTGTTTATAATTTCCCAACTTCATCTTTCGTTGATTTTTCTAGCTCGGTTTCTATCATCGTGGTCTCTTCTTCCACGTTTTCATTTAAGTCTTAGTCCTCTTGTACTGTTAATAATTCTTTAAAATAATCAGTCCAGATTTCTTTAAACTCATTGTCATTTTTTGATACTTTTCCATTTCTATCCTTCATGCCTTTTATCTTTCCTTTAAAGGTTTTGTTCTGCTCGCTAATTTTCTTATAAAATGCTTTTGTGTTTCTGTTTGTGTTTTCTTTTTCTATTTCATTTATCTTATCATTTAACCAGGTTCGTTTAATTTTCCTTATTTGTTTCTTACATTCTGTCCTTAATTTGTTGTATTCTTCTTTATATTCTTGTCTATTTGTTCTGATCCACTTTTGTCTTATTTCTATCTTCTTTTTTAACATGTTATGACAGTCTTGATTATACCATTCTTCTTTTTTGTTCTTTCTCTCTATCCTACATGTTCAGAAGCTGTTTCATTTATACATTTTTTTATATTTCTCCATTCTGTTTCAACATCCTCTGTATGTTCACAGTATTCCTTCAGTTTTTTGCTTATATCTTCTGCATATTTAATTCTTCTATCTGTAGCATTCAGTTTTTCTATGTACCATTTGTCCTTTGTTGTCTTGTTTTTTAGCGTTCTTTTGACTTTTTGTCTTAACGTTGCGGTAACCATGAAATGGTCTGTGTCTGCATGTGCACCTCTGTATGTTCTCACGTCTGTTATCGATGTTTGCTTTCTCTTTGTGATGAGTATATGGTCTATTTGGGACCATGTTTTTTGGTCTGGTGAGATCCATGTTACTTTGTGGTATACAGGGTGTGCAAATTTTGTACTACTGACAATCATATTGGTGCTAGTTGCTAAGTTGCATAATCTTTGACCATTATCATTTGTTTTTTCATGTAATGTGTATTTACCTGCAACTTGGTTAATGTAGTCTTCCTTGCCTATCTGGGCGTTAAAATCTCTACTAGAATTGTGTCTTCTTTGGGTCAAGATTCAATTTCTTGTTCCAGTTTCTCATAAATGTTATCTTTTTCCTCTGCTACAGCACTTTCATTTGGTGCATATACGTTTATGATGGATATATTAAATGGTTTGGCGTTATTCTCAGATATGCCATGCGCTCATTTATTGGTTTAAATTGCATAATATTATTTTGTATTTTTCCTCTACATCTCTTGTGTACTTATCATTAAACTTTGAATAAATCCACCACAAATAAATTTAAATATACTAAGAATCCGCATTCGTTATCGTTATTATTGTTTATAATTTACTACGCATCAAAAATAACAGTTAAATCTGTGGGTTTTCCAATGCCGATATAAAAAATGAAGTTTACAGCAATTTTAAATATCTATTTTAAAATCTTAGTTGCTGATACACCATGGTGTCTCAGCCCATGTCTATTTATTGCAAATAAAAAAGATAGAGGGATCTGCTGATGCAATGATGCAATTTATTGGAGATTTGCAGGATGCAATTTTAGCGGTAATTTAATCTCTTTATTATACTTCCAAATTCTTGAATTTCTCTATCATTTCTTAACATTTTAAATATATACATAAGTGGATATGTTTTTATTATTACTTTTAAGATAATAGTGAAAATGTGTATCGATATTTTTATTCGTTTTTAAGATATTAAAAAAATATCCTTGTATACTCACTTTGAAAATGATTGATAGCACCGCTTTTATGACACAGTTCATTTGCATTATATGTAGTATTATATTCGAAGTTTGCCAGAGAATTTTTTAAATTCTTATAAAATAAACATAGTAATAATAAAGTAGCTGTGTTTTTCACTATTTTCAAAATTAAGTCGAACACTCAATTCATGTAAAAAATTTAGCAGCAGCACCCTCAATTGATGTTAGTTGCAATAAGAGAAAAAAAGGAAGAGTGTATCATCAAATAAGCTGTACTTATTAAGGCTTATCCTCGAATATTGTAACGGTAAAATTCAGAGAGATGTCTATTTCAAAAATATCTTTCTTTACAAAAACAAAATCCATTCACGAAGAATATTCTAAACGTTATCTTGTACTAGAGGTAAGCTTTATACCTACCTTATACAACCCCCTATTGTGTAAAGTCTTGGGTCTATACAATAAACAAGTGGGCGGCCTTCTATTCAGTGCGGTTTTGAAATAATGTTGAATAAAAACATTCATGAAATTAAAATGAAAGAATTTACGTCTATTAGTAGAAGTGCGATTTATAAAATTAGTACTTGAAGCATAAATCGCGGGAGGAATATGTGCATCAGTTTTCAAATATTTATTATTTACTATATAATTTCTAAATTGAACCACTTTCACTTCTTTAGTTAACAATGTATCTGTTTTGACAACTAAATAGGTAATTAGACAAAATAATTATTAATTTCAAAACAGGAGTTTAAAGAATTAGAAAGAGGTAGCCCGGGCCCAGTTAAATGGTCAAGCTTATTCCAGTGGAAGCAATAAGGAGGATTATTTTTCGTTTTGGCACAGCTGACATGCTCTCTCTAGCACTACAACCCATGAAACTGTGGTAAAAAGCATGCTTTATTTATACGGTTGTGAAACACGACGATTAACAGAGACAGATTAATATCGAAGAAAGATATCTCGTCGAACTTAATGCAATAAAGTATGAGAATAGAAGGTACAGTCATGGATGGCATACAACGAAAGCAGCTCAAATGGGTACAGGTCCAATAAATGAAAGACAGTAGACTCCTAAAACAAGTACCTGTATGAACACCTACCGTAATCCAGAAGAGAGGATTACCTTAGAAAACACGGATGGAAGGAATAAGAAACTTAATGAGCTCGAAAGAACTTAAAGAACAATGGAACAACCGAATTGAATGAAAAATGAACGTCGGAAGACATTTTATAAGGATTATATCATATTATAGGTACATTTTTTGGACTAAAAATAAATTTGAAGAAAACCAAGTTCATGGTATTTACAAAAGCACAAAGCATCAAAGTTAAGCTAGTACTAGATAATACAGAAATTGAACAAATATCTTTGTACAAATACCTTGGAGCATGGATCACAGAAGATACTGATTAGACAAAAGAAATAAGATGCCGCATTGGAATTGCACGGTCAACTTTTAATAGAACGAGAAAACTTTTTTGTAATCGAGATATCAATATATCGCTCCGGATAAGAATGCTTTGATGTTATATTTTCTTTACCCTTTTATATGGGATTCAAGCTTGGTCACTTAAAAAATCCAACATTAAAAACCTAGAAGCATTCGAAATGTGTTCTCGAACAACTAGGAAAACAATGCGAAGTTTTAAATTCCATAAAAATCAGGAAATTAGAATACTTGGGGCACATCATACATCACACATCAAGACGTAAAATCTAGTGGTTACGCAATCTCCGTGAATGGTTTGGATGCAATTCAACAGAACTATTCAGCCGCATATCCAACAAAATGATAATTGCCAGAATGATTTCCAATCTCCGATAGGAGTGGAACTTGAAGAAGAAGAATAAGTACATTATTATTATATCATATTATATATATATATATATATATATATATATATATATTTATATAATATATGATATAAACGATATTGAAAGAGGTTACAACATAGACAATCAACAAAATCTACATCGACAACTACACAGTGAACACCCAACAATAATAGAAGTGTCAAATGCCGTCCTAAAACTCAAAGACAATAAAGCCACAGAAATCGATTAAATCTGTTGGAAAATATATAAAAAAAGGTGATGATCAACTTTTTGCAGTAACCCATAAACTAATAGTACTTATATGGCAAAATGAATTTGTTCCAGAAGAGTGGCTAAATGAAATAATATACGTTGCATAAAAAGGACGATTAACTGGATTGTAAGAACTATAGAGGCATTACTCTGTTAGCATCTTCACCTGTTAGCACCCTGCTTGGCAGGGTCACATATCAGATCAATTTACGGTTGCAAAAGGCTTGAGACTGGGAGATCCTTTATCCACTACATTATTCAAATTAGTATTAGAAACTGTAATCAGAAAATGCAGCATGAAGATGGAAGAAACGATCATGAAAAATGAGCACCAGTGCTTGGCATTTGCTGATGATCTAACGATCCTAGCAAAAACCGAGTAAGAATTAAGAAGAGTTGTGAAGAAAATCATCGAAGAAGCACAGAAATTTGGATTGGAACTAAATGAAGACAAAACTAAATAT